GGTGGGACGAAATCCAAATATCGATGATGTTAGATCCTATTTAATATATCCATCAATATCCATGTTTCTTTTGAAAAACGTCAAAGGACACAATAAAATTCATGTAGCCCAAAGATTCACCTCTTTCCGTGTTTAGAGAATACCATACAAATCTCTACGCAAATTGCTGATAACTTGACCATAAATAACTAATTTTCACTTATATGGTCTCCAAATTAGAATGTTTTCAGACAGTCACATAATTTGGTGAATGCATAAATATGGTTTAATTTTATACGTGTTATTGCTTCTAGCATGATACACAAAGTTTATTATGTATGAGACCTTTCCGACATCTCACATTGATATTGGAGACCGTTTGTGGAATAGGAATAAAATCAAGACTGACATGGCCACTTATAGATGTGCCACTAGTTATTGATGATGAGTTCATCGGCATTGACATAAAGGCTTGCTCAGTTTTATTTTTGTCTGGTAAATGGTCATTGAAGGTATATTTTATTATTTTATGCCACAGGCCGTCAATCAATTGCGAATTTGCACTTCCAGTCTGTCGATACAGCATTTATTATTATTGCCATTTTTTGTGCAATAATATGATACAACATCACGCTAGACGTATCCCACCCACCGCTTTTCAATTTTCACAAGGTAACTCGCTCTCGGAAGCGATGTTCAGGCATGCAGTCCCGCTCTTCAATTTGCCGTCCTTGCATTTTGACCGTATCGACTAAACTGATGCAGCATTAGTGATTTGTTATTAGGCGGGATGACAATCTCGCATTTGTGGGAAACATTTTCCAAGTTTTTTTTTCATAGTTACGTCTTTTGGATGCCCCTTAACAGGAATCAAGAAGTTGCCGGCGGTTACTTGGTTTTACACATTTTTTTAACAAATTACAAAAAATGATATTTTCACTATAGACAAACTTTTTTTTTTACAAAAACGTTATTGTCTAAAGTTGACCGAGTTATAAGCTATTTAGGCCTGATTGTATAATTCACCGGCGAGAATCAACCTTTTCGACTTTGGACCAATGAGAAGGCGTCTGAAGTAACGGATCTGATGAATTTGGTAGATAGATTTCTTACAAAATGTCTCAAACTAGGTGGACTCCTATTCTGATATTGAATCAATAAATACTTCACATATAACAGTCCAGCTACAAAAACCTATTTTTCAATGGTGTCCGGACGCAAATTCCACCAATCAAAAATTATTGGCCTAGTCGATACGTGGATCAAACCTGTTACATTAGATTGACATTATTCAGCATTTTATTGAAAATAAGTGTCTCACTGTTGTTGTACAAAATTCTTTGAAGAAATAAATAAAATTACATAATGCTTATTGTATTGAAAATATCGAGTAAATAATCAATTTACTTGACTGCCGTGTGAAAAACCGTGTTTCTCAAGCACTGTTACTGTTAACAGGGAGATGTCGCGCTCTCTACTGGACGGTAGGACAACTACGCGACCACGCTTAGCCGGTGGTATGCTAGAAGTAGTCGTCCTACTATCCAGTAGAGGGCACGAGAGCTCTCTGTTAACAGGGCTGGCTAAAGGTGCAGCGTTTTTTGCACGATGGTCAAGTAAATTAAATATTTACTCGATGTTTGTTAAAGAGTAAGCATTCTCTAATTTTATTTATGTCCTAAAAGAATTCAAGCAGAATTTTGTACAGCAACAGTGAGACAGTTATTTTCAATAAAATTATTTATCATTTAATTAGGGTCATATCAATATAGATATTTTATCAGATTTGGGTCTACGCTTCGAGTAAGGCGCAAATGCTTTTTTTCTTAAGTGTATTTTATGACCATAGCCATTAATTTTGTGTCGGGACGCAAATGAGGAATAAAATATGGGACTTTGGAAATTGGTCATATTCATTAGATCCATTACTCCAATGATGCTTTCTCATTTGTCATCCACCCCCTTTTTTGCACCCCGGCTTATTAAAATCGGACCTTAAAGTCTGTAAATGCCCTCAAAATCAATGCATTGTTTTAAAACTTATTTGAAAATTATTTTTGAAGCTGTCCAATATCTAAATAAAGTTTAAATCTTCGTCTATAAGACTCCAAAAAATATTTTGGGCCTATATTATTTTAAAGTATCATTATACAATAATTGTTAATACCGGCCGCGCCCGTGGTCCGGTATTAACAATTTAATATTGTTATTCTATTTGCCTTAAATACACTGAACCTAACATGCTTTTCTGGGTCTTGTAGTGGGAGGTTTAAGCTATAATTTACATGCTTGTGAACTTCAAAAATAAATGTTTAACAAAGTTTCCCAGATCCGGAGCGGAAACAGCAACTTTTTGGAGTGTTTAAACAAATTTGCACCGAGTTACCGCCTGGCAATACATTCATTCATGTTAAGGGGCTTCCAATAAACATGATTATGAATAAAAATCAAATAAATCCTTTGAGGAGCCATTGGTTCTTAGAATGACTTAATGAACACTAGAACAGGAAAAAGGATGCTTTGCATCTTATCACAATATTCTAATCGAATGGCTCAAATGCGATTAAACTAACAAGATGCTTTCGGATGTTTGACCAAAGGATAGCCAACCATGGATAGCTGCTTCGTGCTTCTGGCTAGTCATAAGCATGGTCCAGCCTTTTCTGTGGGATTAAATGTCAAGATTTTGAAATGATCTATCCGAATTGGATGTATAGGTAGATTGATGAATGGGCGCAGAAAAGTAAATACACAAAATTCTCTCAGACAACATATCCCTAGTTATCAGTGGCAGAATTCAGTAATTCATTAATTTCCAGTATGTATGCTGCGAGCTAAGTCGTTTAAGTCCATCCTGAATGGATTGGTCACTGCCGCCCTTTTAAAAGAAATTTAGGACGTTCATATATCTTTTGTCATTAATATACCAATAGTAATTAGTGTTACGTGGGTAATACTTTCAAAAACAAAGAAGTATCTACCAACAGAAGAATGTTTTCGTGAGTAGGCGGCCATTCAAGTATTACGTAATCACGAAAGGGTATCTTCAATTCGCTTATTTTTGGTGATATGGAGCCTGGGAGAGTCTGGATGATGTTTACGCCACCAATATTTATTTTTTTAAATTTTGGTATTTCGATGATTTGAACACATATGGCAACCCTGCTTGTCTCTGTTCGAAACGTATCTTGAGGTATTCCCTAAATATGGATATGCTTACTTGCTTAGAACCTTAGCTACAAATGTTCCTGGTAGAAATGTGTACAACCCAGTGGAGCGCAGAATGGCTCCTTTTAGTCGGGCACTAACTGGTTTGATATTGCCTCATGACCATTTTAGGTCTCATTTGGATGATCGTGACGTTACAATTAATGAACATTCAGAAAGATCCAATTACTAGTGTACCAGAAATATATTAACAGAGGTACGTTGTGCACTGGAAATTGGTGGTTATAATCTTACTGCAAACTATGTTGGGTTGGGAGACCCAGATCTTCTAGACATTAATTTGCATCCAGAACAAGCCAATACTTGCTTCATATAGTAAAATATACCAAAATGTTTACCTAAGCATGCTTAATTTTGCTGACAATGATGTTAATACTTGTAAAAAATCTACTTACGTAATACTTGAACGGCCCCAAGGAATACTTGTCACCCTTGACGAAAAGTTTACCGTTAATTCCACACGTAAATAAATAAAATTCAGGATACCTGACCCAGCATAAAGTCGTTTGTTTTATTGGAGATTATTGTTATGGGTCAAAATCACCAAGAATGAAATTTGGAGATTGATTTTATGGCAAAAAATATTACTGATTATATGACAAAAAATATTACAAGCTATAGCAGCATTAGTACATGTAGGTTTTAAGCAGATCCTTCACTGAAACCGATCATTTCGGAAACGACAGTGAAAAACTATGATAAATGATCAATAATAGTGCTTGTATTAAATAAATACTGAGAAGAAATTCGTTAATCGTACAAGCAAGCACATCAGTGTACGTGTGTGTTGTTATTTACAATAATTTTTGTAATCTTCCTTTTTTATGTGGGTATTGCTAAAAAGCAAGTTGATCAATGTTAGTGAAATAATTATAAATTATAATATAATAAAAATATTAGATAATATATAATATATAATATTAGATAATAGACTACTAGCTATCTACCTTTAACTAGCTCTAGAACTTTTCGTTATAATTATAATTATAAAAAAGAAGAAAAATGAAGGCGAAAACGAAACTCTAGAACCAAATATTCAAATTAGCGTAAGTGAAACGAGTACCAAAGAAACTATTGTCAAAGAGAATTATTATCTTAAACAGCTTTAGGAAGAAAAGGAAAGAACTATATATCAGTTGGTAAATGAAAACCGTAGACTACAGGAAGCATATGACTTGATTTCTGCCAACATAGTAGAGAAGGAATCCGTTGTATCTACTTTGGCTATTGTAACTGATCAACTAGAACAACTTGAGAAAAGAACGTCAGAGAATATTTCATACTCACAAATTTTAAAGCAAAATATTCCTAAAATCAATAGCAACAACAAGAACAACAATGGCATGAAATCCATATTAGTTACTCCCGAAAGGACCCAACATTATAATGACACCAGAAAAGACCTAACTAGTATCATTAATCTAGCGAGTATTGAAGTCAAGATAGAGAAAGCAAATAATTATAAAAACGGCGGCGTCGAAATTCAAGTTAAGCGATGTTCTTACCAGAAACTCAAAAATGAACTAGAAACTAAGTTAAAGAGAAAATACAATATATCAGGAGCAAGAGAAATGAGACCGAAAATTAAAATCATAGGCTACAAAACTGAAAAAAACCTTCAGAAGCAGAAATTAAAGAAGAAATCATATCCCAGAATACATTCATTAATAAAAACGACATCGAAATCACTTTTGTACTACACATACCATTCCGAAATTCTTATACTATATTCGCTGAAGTTTCTGGAGAGCTATATAGAGACATATTTATCAACAAGAAATCAAGAATATTACCTATGACAATAACTCGATATCGCAGTGTAGAAAATGCTTGAAGTTTGGTCACACAGACAAAAAATGTAGGGGCGCGGAAATGTACATTAAATGTGGACAAGCACATAGAAGTGAAATTTGTACTGTAAACATTTTAAAACGTTCTAACTGTATGAACTATAACGTTAAGCATAATAAGAATAATGATGTTGGTTAACAGAAACTTGGAAAATTAATGATGTATGATGTAGCAGAAATTAAAGAAGAAATCATATCCCAGAATACATTCATTAATGAAAACGACATCGAAATCACTTTTGTGCGACACATACCATTCCGAAATTCTTATACTATATTCGCTGAAGTTTCTGGAGAGCTATATAGAGTCATATTTATCAACAAGAAATCAAGAATACTACCTATGACAATAACTCGATATCGCAGTGTAGAAAATGCTTGAAGTTTGGTCACACAGACAAAAAATGTAGGGGCGCGGAAATGTGCATTAAATGTGGACAAGCACATAGAAGTGAAATTTGTACTGTAAACATTTTAAAATGTTCTAACTGTATGAACTATAACGTTAAGCATAATAAGAATAATGATGTTGGTTAACAGAAACTTGGAAAATTAATGATGTCTTTGTTCTATTTGGAAGGTTATGATACGCTTTACAATAATGGTACGTCAATCAGAATGATGGGGTGGTAGTATATCTAAGAAATGATATCAACTACAGATGTGATTTTGTTAAATTTAATGACGGTATCACAGTGTTGGATTTGATATTGAGAATTAATAACAAAGGTGTAAAAGTCACATCTGTCTATCGACCACCATCATCAAACCCTTATACATTTGTAGAAAATCTTGAAAAATTTTGGTTAGATAACAAAAATGTCATACAGTCACACCACATCATAGTAGGAGATATGAATATTAATATACTCCAAGATACCAAATTAGTAAACAAATACCTCACTGTAATGCAGAGCAATGGATTCATATCAAATATAAATTTAGAGAAGCAAAACGCCAATTTTATCTAAAAAAATTACCAAATTTTAACAGTTAACTTCAAAAAAACAAAATTTATTGTATTTACATTCTATTCAAAATTTTTAAGTACCTTCGAACAAATGTCCGTTAATTATCATGGCCAAAAGACCAAAATTGATAGAGTTAACATTCTTACAGAAAGTTATCTGCGAATCCTATACCATGCCTTAGTTGAAACCCATATAATATACGGCATCACAGCTTGGGGTGCCGCCTGCAAGACATACATATATTTCTGACCTGAATATAGCACAAAAAACTGTTTTGAAAGCCATTTTCCATAAGCCAAGATTATATCCGACGAACAACTTATATCAGGAAACAGGGATACTTGATACATGACAACTTTATTTCTTACATGCCACCACCTTATACCATAAGTATTGTAATAAAAAAAATCCTATAAACACGAGCATAACACACGATTTCGAATTGGCTCATCTAATATCCAAAGACCACACAAAACATTATTCAAAAAATCATTTAAATTCTTAGCAGCTAGATTATAGAATGTAGTACCAAACGAAATAAAAATACTTAATTTTGGAAAAAAATTTAGACGAAAATTGAAAGACTGGGTTTGTACTGTGCAGCGAATGACTATACATAATTATATAGAAAACGAAAACTACAAAATTCCAATTAGATTAATACTTTTTAGATTTAACAATAATTTTTATACACAGATTGATTGTTAGTTATTAAGATATAAACCACACACAGGCGATGCCTTCTGTGGTTTTTTCATATTTATTTGCCCATTTTTTGTATTTTGGCGAATAAATATTATTATTATTATTATAATAAATAATTCTATATAATTAATATTATTTTGAAGCATTCAGAAATCGGCAAAGATATAAATCTGTATTTAAATATCTGCATGAAAATCGAAAAAATGCGTCTAATGACGTGAATTAAACACAACCAAAGTGCCTTTGTTCTTCACAAAGCAAAATGCGTGCGAACCTTGAGCGCGTTTTACCAGATATCTATCAAATACTTTATAGAACAGTGGAGCTGTAACATATGTATAATAATATAAATGGCAAGAAGGCAGTGTGCCCCGTATACAAATCTGGTCACAGAGGGTGAATTATAAATTATCGATCAATCTCGATCATTAATAATTTTGGTAAACTTTTCGAAACAATTTATTCTTTATAGCCAGATTTATCACTTTATTCGTAATTCTATATCTGAATGTCAACATGGTTTTATGAATGGTAGATCAACTGTCACCAACTTGGTGATTTTCCCTCAGTTAGCATCAAGTATTTTGGATTGTCAGGGCTAGTTGGACACGGATTTTTCAAAGGCATTTGATAAAGTTGATCACAGGATACTTCTTGCCAAATTGAATTTGTTTCACTGGCAACTCGATATCTTTATTAAAGTCCTATTTACATAATCGTCAGTTACTCGCGTCATACAAGTGGCTTCGAATCTTTTCTTTTTCTTCAGGGGTACCACAGTGTTCGTATTTTGGGACCATTGCTTTTTTGCTCTTTGATAACGATATAAGTAGCAATATTCATTGTGAGACATTACTATTTGCCGATGACTTGTTCCTTGAAATCAATAGCATCATGATTGTGAGTACTTACAGTGTCAACGATCTAAGTTGGAGAATGGTGTCGATTGAATAAACTACATATAGTTATCGTTAAATGCAAAGTAGTTACATTCTGTAGAAATCAACAAATAGTAATTTACCCTTATAACACCGGAGGAAATGTAATCATTTGGTACAAACATGTTTCTTATTTAGGCGTATACTAGGATGAATTTTGGCTACCACATTACTCAAATTGTAAATAGTGCTAATAGAGCTTTAGGTTTTATTGTTCGAAACTGTAAGATTATTAAACACTTGGCTGCATTAAAAACATTATACTTTGTATATACGTTCCAAATTCGAATATGCTTCGTCGGTTTGGAGTCATTATTTTAAGTCTTATATAAATCAAATCGATGATGTTCAAAAGAAATTTCGTAAGAATCTGGTTTTCAAGATTGATTCACTTTCCTGTTTCAGTTTCCTCAGCGTGGGTCGGAATAACAAGTATTGTTGGTAAGATGTCAAGTCGCCTCATTGAGTGAGAGAAGAAATCACAACTCAGTCGTCTTCTTATATAAACTTTTATTTATTGTTAATTCTTCAGAACTGTTATTCCAGCTCCAATTTTAAGTTACAAGGACATGCTCTAGAAACAGTACCTTCTCTTTTTTGTACCCGTGCAAATACCAACTTAGCTTTAAAATCTCCTGTAAGAGTCATGTGCACGAACTTCAAAAGAATTTACAGTATTTGTGATATCCTTCTGTGTTCTCTTCCTCAACTCAAGCGGATTTTATGATAGCACCTTGACGTTTGTTTATTCTCTAAAATTTGAAGAAATTAGTATTGTTTTTTATTGTTATGCCAGATTTCAATTCTTTGTCCTGTAAATGAAATTATAATAATTCTGTTGGGCAATAAATGCTATTATTATTAGTATTATTATTATTATTATACTTTAACTATTACATATCGAATATTCATTTGGAGACATATATGTATTAGGTTTTGTGTCGCATGTTTCCAGTATCTAAAATAAGGTTACGGCTAGAGCTGAGCAAGTGCAAGTATTGGTGATATCAATATATTAAGAAAGAAGCCAGTAGGAGTGTAAATAGTGAAGACTGAGGACCTCACTAATAATAATAATAAAATTACATTATAATAATACCTATTTCATATGACAATTGTGCTCCCAGTATATGTTTCAGCGGTTTGTCAGTTTTATAATCTCTCGCTTCCAGAAGTTTTCAAATAAGAGAAGGTTAAATATACTGAGTGACAAGAAAAAGGTAAACACTCACGTAATTATTAGAATTCCAGAATTTTTTGCATATCGATTTATTTTGCCATGAACAACAAGTGATAAAACGGTCAAATTTTGGTGATAAAGAAGCACTCAGTTTTCGTACATTTACGGTGTCAGTTACATGTTAAATTTCGTGTAGCTTATTGAGAAGCCTTTTGTGAGGGCGTAGAATTCGCCGGGTGTCGCAGCTAAGTGACTTTGAGAGGGGTCGAATTGTTGGGTTGCGTGAAGCCGGTCTATCGATAAGAGAAGTTTCTAGGAGGACCAACAGATCCTTACGCCGTATACTGCAGTGTGAATGAGCGTGGACTCAGGAAGACCGAGGGCAGGGAGCGAGGGGTACTGGACGTCCCAGAGGGACCACAGAGCGATAAGACCGCCGGTTAAGACTTCTGGAACTGAGAGACAGATTCAGTAGTACTCGAGCCACCGCTAATCAGTGGTTTGAAGAGCATGGAAGGCTGGTTGGTATGCGTATGGTATATTGTCGAAAACGACAGTTTGGGCTTTTTTCTTATCGCCCATATTGGGTGCTACCTCTCACAGCTCAACATCGGCGTAACCGTTTGCTTTGGTATAGAGAAGGAATTCTATGGGACCGGGAATGGAATCAGGTGGTCTTTAGTTTCGAATACCGCTTCTGTCTGGAGATGCACGATGGTCGGGCAAGAGTGAGAAGGCGATGTGGTGAAAGACGTGACCCACAATTTGACAGAGAGCGTCACTTTACCACACCGTGGGAGTTATGGTATGGGGTGCTATTGCTTATGGTAGCAGATCACCACTAATTTTCATCAGAGGCAATATGACAGCCCCACGCTATATTCAGGAGGTAGTGGAGCCTCATCTTATTCCATACCTAAACACCATCCAAAACCCGATTTTTCAGCAAGACAATGCCAGACCGCATGTTGCCAGAAAATCGTTAGCCTTCATGGGTCAACATCGCATCAACCGTTTACCTTGGCTACCACGATCACCTGGCCTATCTCCAATTGAACATGTCTGGGACATGATAGGTCGCAGGCTCTTGAATTTGCAACACCCTCCACAGACTTTAGCAGCTCTCACTCACGAATGAGATACCCCAAAAGGATATCGACCACCTTATCAGCACGATGCCCAGGCGTGTCAATGAAATCGTGGCTCCTCAACACATTATTGAACCAGCTTCTGCAGTCAGTTGACGAATCAGGCTTAAAATTTAAGCATTTTACTAGTAAAGGACACTGAACATATATGCCAAAAATTATTAAAATCGGATAAACATACGTAGGTGTTTACCTTTTTTTGTCACTCAGTATACCTATTAATAAATATTTTTTCCTCACCGTTTTAGAAGGTATCGTTACCTCCATTGTTAAGGTTTATGATTTTATTGTTCAAAATTATAATGTTATAAATATTAAGGTACATCGAAATCCAATTGTCTCAATATTTTTTACTTCCTACGTTTCTGGGCGAGAAAGTATTGTAATTACGAAAAATTATTCTGGATGTTATATGACATGCACATCACGAGAAACCACATCACTCCGGTTGTCTGTCTGTCGGTATGTCTGGTAATCCTTCCCCCCTCTATAAGTGGACTTCCAAATATTTTAAGGATTATTTTTAGATATCATGGACTTTGCTTTTCTACATTTTTCACTTTTTTGGGACATTTTTTTTATCTGGCCTAGCAAACATCCAAACTTAGACACTAGGTAGGTACACGACATGAAATAGTTTTGAAACCCTTAACGGAGATCACACCGTCTGGAAGCTTTGTGGATTGAAAGTATGTGGATTTTGTCGACAATTGTGCACAAAATTATGATGAATGGTTTCCCCGTCTCAGAAACTCATTCCACGTTGAATACCGGTACATGCTAAAGTGGGTGAAAGGGTTTCAATTTGTCTCTATTTTTTCTATTAATCGAGGTGACCGTACTATAGCTGAACCAATCGTACTGATTTCCAGGCGGTTGCAGACATATACAGTGTGTGCACCATTTCACTAACCTTAGATAGCCGCAGCGTGCTAAGGCAAGACAGACAGTAACAGTTACTTACCAGGCGCTACCATGATTAGAATGCAATGCACGGTTTCTTACAAAAATTGATTTGATTGTGGAAAGTGTATGTTACGGCTCGACGCGAGCATTTCCGTGAAATATTCGCGACTTTTTGTCGGGAGTTTCTTTTCGAAAATGGTCGGTGACAGGTAGCGCTGAAGATATGGTGGTGTTTTGGGGTAGTTGGTTGGTTGTTTTTGGATTACTTTGTACAAGTGAGTATATTCTCTTATTTACAAGTTGTGCAAACGTCAATAAAACTTATAAGAAGTTATAAGTAAAGAGAAAAAATATAATTAAAAATCTATGAACAAGATGTTATCTGTTATAAATATGACGACTATAGACGGTTGGAAACAGTTGACTAACGCTGATACATAAAGCTCAGCAACGTTATTTTGATAATTCGTTGACTCAAGTGATATTGACAGTTGCACACCATTTAAAAATGATATCCAGGTCTAGGCTAATATTGAACCGCTACAAAATCGAAGTATATTTGAAAACATAAATGGTACAGTAAGCCTGTGGAGAGGTTAAAAACCAACAATAAGTCTTTGAGAAGGTAACAGTCGTTCGAAAACAAGGTACGTATAGACTAAACGCTAAGAGGTCGGGAAGCTACAAAAATGCCCACGTAGAGAAAGTTCTAACATGGATAAGTCACGCGACATAAAAGATTCAAAGTTGACCCTTCGTACTTTACTGCAGCGTAGTTTAAAAACGGTCGAATACTTGTTTAGCTATTCGGTGTACATTTTGCTCGATTAGCAAGTCTGCTATATGATTAGGAAGAGCTCATAAATTTGGAAATTTTGCAATTCACATTCTGTTGCACCCCAAACATGAATAAATAAATAAATAAATAAATAAAACCACTTATGCTTTTCTTAAATTTTGTATTATATAATTTTCAGAAGTATTGTATAATTTTCGTTTTGCACGATTTTCATGTGCAATGGGCGAGTGTGAATTAATTAAATGAAAAAGGAAAATATATTTTCACAGTAATAAAATTTTAGCACATAATAAATAATTCTAGAGATACGCATTTGCATACCGATACTTCTTGGTATTGTCATCCATCATTCATAAAATACACACGCCTATTGCATATCAATGATAAATATATATAGGTGAATGGCCCACTATGTTGATCCCAAATTTCATACATGCATTTCAAGCAGGTCAAAACGCCTTAGCAGTTTGCAATAGCTATCAGCCGTTTTTTCTGACAGAAATAATAATAATGTTTACTGAAGAAAAAATACAATTTAGGAGCAAAAGAAAAAAGTATATCCCATATACAAAACAACACAAACAGCAAATGCTTGTGCGTGGGGGAATGCCAATACCTATTGAGGTCGAACTTTCAACTTATCATTGCCCTGCTAGCACATTTTTACGTATATGACGTTGAATATTTATAGTAAAAGCTATTAAAATATACAAGGTGTTAACAATTTTTTTTCTAATTTTAGAAAACAGAAATATAAAAGTATTGTCTAACCAACAGTTTACTGATTTGTCAAAACATCTATATATTTTTTAAAAGATACTAAAGACAAAGAAAAGAGTAATGAACTTCATCAATAAAAAAAAAATATCACTCGTAGTTGAGTCAAACATTTATATTATATTATATACAGACTGTAACAAAAGTTTGGTACGTATTGAGTATCTGACAATTTTTTTTTAAAATTGCTAGGCTTAGGTTCGAAACCACGGCGGATCTGTTGCTGATATCCGCGATGCTGCCAAATCTACAGTTGTTCAACTAGCAACTTTTGTTTTTCTTATGGAATGTTATAATTTTTATTCGAAACATGTATTCTACCAGAAATTCTTAATGTTTTTTATTAAAAATACTTTGACGTTGACCTTGGTTTTAGTAAAAAAACCCATTTTTTAATAACTCTAACAAAACTCAATGGAATTTTCAATGTCGGAAATGACAGGAAATTATCTCCATACCGGTCATTGGTTAGGTGAAAAAAATACCTTTTATTGTTACTTCAGAAACTATGAGGTCTACGTCAGAGTGTGTTGAAGAAAAATTATTTAGAATTTCTCGCAGAGTACAAATATCGAATAAAATGTATAGCATTCCATAAGAAAAACAAAAGTTACTATCTGTTTCTAAAAAACTATAGATTTGGTAACATCGCGGATATCATCAACGGATCCGCCGTGGCTTAGATTGCTTAGAACATAAACCTACCAATTTTTAAAAAAATAGGTGAGTCATTCATCAGATATTTGATGTGTTCCGAACTTTTGTTACAGTATGTATAATAAAATCGGTAACAATTTTTTTTTAAATATCAACATGACTCACTAAATGTAAATGTAATATTTTACCAATTTTCTACGATTCTGTGACTTGTTCTTGTCCCTTTTCAAGTAAGAATTTTTTTATTTCTTTTTTAAATTTTGATTTTTTTATTTCATTAGGCAGCAAGTTATATAACCGACTGGCGAGATACGTATAGCATCCTTGTTCTATTTTAGTAGACAAAGGAGTCCTTCTTATTTTATTCATCTTGTTCCTAGCCGAATAGGTTTATTGTATCGGTACTAACGTATGTGTGTTTCTAAATTGATATACCAATATACTGAACAAAAACAATTGCCGAAGATCTAGAGTTTCTGCATCTCTATGCAGATGTTCTGGCGGAGTCTGTTTTTATTATGAATTATCTAAAAACATTGTTTTTCTAATACCTCAAGTTTTGCTAAGTGAACTGTTAGAGCTCCACCACAAGGTAATAAACCATATCGCTATCTAGACGCCGCTAGAGCTTGGTAAATAATTTTCATGGTCTTTTGATCCAGATAATTACTTAGATATCTTATTTAGAATAACAGGCGTCTCAAGTTCAAGGTAATATGATCAAAATGATAAATCCATTTTGTGTGCGAATCCAAAAGTACGCCCAGATATTTGATTTTGTTGGTAGGTTCTATTTTAATGATTTCGTAAGTACTTTCTGGATTTTGTTTTATCTCAATAGAAGTATAATCATTAAGCCTTCTTTTATCATTGGAAAACGGTATAAACATCGTTTTTTGGTAATTTATAGTAAGGCTTTAATGGTGAATCAATCCGAAATTGTAATGAAATCGTTTTCTACTTTCTCCTTAAGATTGTACCACGACGATTCATATGAATAAAGAATAGCGGTGTCATCAGCAAAACAAACGACAGCTCCCCCTATTTGTAAATCTAGTAAGCTGTTCACGTATAAGTTAAATAACAAGGGACCCAAAACTGTACTTGTACTGCTTATAATTGTTTTTTCTTCACTGATAGTAGAATTATCTGGACTATCTGATTTCTTCCCTCAAGATAACTTTTTAGTAGATTGAATGCACTACCTCTGATACTAGACACCCAACAGCTTATTCTGGTCTACTGTATCAAATGCTTTTGCAAGATCCAGGAAAATACACAGAGCTGGGTTGCTTTGGTCAAGCAGTTTATGTAATCTAGATGTGAGAAAACAGATTACATCTGATTTTTAATGAGTAGGTTATGTTTTTCAAAAAAATTCATGCGCCTGTATTTTAAGCAATTTTCAACAATTTTGGCAAATATGGTAGTGAGCGTAATGGGTCAATAATTTGTAACTTCTAAAAGATCGCCTGTCTTGTGTATAGGTTTTATTATAACACGTCTGAAAATATACGGACATACCCCAACTTGTATACTTAGGTTTATTAAATAACTTAATGCTTATAGACACACACACACACACAGACACAGACGCACACACAGACGCACACGCACACATACACACACGCATAAAGACACACACGCACACAGACACACACGCACACAGACACACACGCACACAGACACACACGCACACAGACACACACGCACACAGACACACACGCACACAGACGACACACACGCACACAGACGACACACACGCACACAGACACACACGCACACACGCACACACGCACACACGCACACACACACACACACACACACACGCTCACAGACACACACACACACACACACACACG